AGTAAAACATAAGCTTACTGTTTACGAGGAGAAAGTCTCCCCCTCATTGTGCCTCCTTCACCAGCTGGGGAATTGCTTTAGAGAGCCTTTCCCTTGCCTTAAGTCTTTTCCCTTGTGCCATAAGATATGTTGGTGAGTGGTTAGATGTTCAGTCTTACAGGCCATTGGTCCCAGTTTCTCCTAAGACACACAGTCAGAAGCTCTTGACCAGGGTGTCTCAAACTGCTGTGCAGCAGGATTTCCTGAGGAACTTTTATATGAATATAGATGACTGGCCCCCACTCACCCAATGAATCTTGCAGGATCGGACCCCAGAATTCCTATTTTGATGCTCCCAGGTGATTCTGGAGCAACTGATGGATCATGTGCTGCTGGGTACAGATGAGCACAACCATGTTTCATTGCAGGTCTCTGATACGGCGGCTGCCACTCTCCCCTCACCTCTGCTGGAAGAGACAGCATGTTAGAAATCAAGAGAGTGGGAGCAGCTTTGTTATACACAGAATTTTTTTTGTTGTTGTTATTTGAGATGGAGTCTCACTCTGTCACCCGAGATGGAGTGCAGTGGCATGATCTTGTCTCACTGCAACCTCCGCCTCCTGGGTTCAAGCAGTTCTCCCATCTCAGCCTGCTGAGTTGATGGGACTGTAGGTGTGCACCACCGCACCTGGCTGATTTTTGTATTTTTAGTAGAAACAGGGTTTCACCATGTTGGCCAGGCTGGTCTCGAACTGTTGACCTCAAGTGATCTGCCTGCCTCGGCCTTCCAAAGTGCTGGAATTACAGGTGTGAGCTACCACGCCCAGCTTGTTATGGGCAGCATTTTGATCCTAGACTATAAAAAGTAAATCAGACCATCACGTACCCACCAGTTTGTAAAGATCAAATAAAGTGATGATATTAATTATCTTAGTCTGGTTGGTGGTACTATAAAGGAATACCAGAGGCTGGGTAATTTATAAGGAAGAGAGATTTACTTGGCTTATGGTTCCACAGGCTATATAAGAAGCATGGTGCCAGCATCTGCTGTTGGTGAGGGCCTCAGGCTGCTTCCACTCATGGTGGAGTGCAAATGAGAGCAGGTGTGTGCAGAGATTGCACGGCAAGAGGAGGCAGGAGAGAGAGGGAGAAGATGCCAGGCTTTTTTCAACAGCCAGTTCTCATGGGAACTAAGAGCAAGAACTCATTACTGCGAGGATTCCACCAAACTATTCATGAGGGATCCTTCCACTACAACCCAAACATCTCCCACCAGGCCCCGCCTCCAATATTGGGGATCACATTTCAACTTGAGACTTGGTATGAACATAGAGCAATAGGGACTCTCATATGCTGCTGATGGGAGTGTAAAATGGCACAACCACCTTGTAGAACACTTTTGCGTTTTTTATTTAATTTGAAGACAGGTGCTGTGATCTGGTTGGTTGTGCCCAACATTCCTCCCCAGCCCCAATTCACATGTTGAAATCCTAACTGCAAGGTAATGGTATTAGGAGATGAGCCCTTTTCAGAGCTGATTAGGTTATGAGGGTGGAACCCTCATGAATGGGATTAACGCCCTGTGAAAGAGGCCCCTGGGCGCTGCCTTACTTTTTCTACCAATTGAAGACACAGCAAAAAGGCATCATCTATGAACCGAACCAGAAAGCGGGCCCTTACCAGACTCCTAATCTGCCAGCACCTTGATCTTGGACTTCTCAGCCTTTAGGACTGCTTGAAATATACTGCTTTTGTTTATAAGCCACCCACTTTGTAGTGTTTTGTTACAGCAGCTCAAAGGGATTAAGACAATGGGTCACCTCTTTGATCCAGCATTCCACTACTAGGGTGGCCCCAGCTTAGGGATTGGTAAACTGCATGCATCCAACCAGGGAAGGATGCCAGCTGTGCAGTTGGCCGAGCTCACAGAAGCCTGAAGGCCAAGTCTGGTCCACTGCCTGTTTTTTAAGTAAAGTTTTATTGGAACATAGCCCTATCAATTTGCTTACATATTATCTATGCCTGCTTTTGTGCTACAGCAGTAGAGTTGAATAGTTGGAGCTGGCACTTTGTGACTCAAAACCTAAAACATTTGTCAGGCTTGCAGAAAGAGTTCTACAGCTCAATCCTCAGTCCGTATTTCTTTCTTCTTTCCTTTTTTTTTTTGAGACTGAGTTTTGCTCTTTTTGCCCAGGCTGTAGTACAATGGCACTATCTCGGCGCACCGCAACCTCTGCCTCCCAGGTTCAAGCAGTTCTCCTGCCTAAGCTTCCCAAGTAGATGGGATGACAGGCACCCACCCCCATGCCCGGCTAATGTTTGTATTTTTATTAGAGTCGGGGTTTCACCATGTTGGCCAGGCTGGTCTCAAACTCCTGACCTCAGGTGATGTGCCTGCCTTAGCCTCCCAAAGTGCTGAGATTACAGGTATGAGCCACCATGCCCAGCCTAAATTATTTGGAAACTTAATTACTGGAGTAGTTGTTACTAATTAAATAATACTACAATTCTCTCTCAGCTGACCCCAGACTCAAATGTGAGTCAACACCAGAGCTGAGAAGTCAGTGCCTGAAAAAGAGTAAACTTGAGTTCCTAAGAGTAGGTTTGGTAGGGAGGAGCAGGGAGATAATGTGAGCCATGGGACCTGAGAAATAGAGCAGAGGTCCGGCCAGGTGCAGTGGCTTGTGCCTATAATCCGAACACTTTAGGAAGCTGAGGTGGGCAGATTACATGAGGTCAGGAGTTTGAGACCAGCTTGGTCAACATGGTGAAATCTGTCTCTACAAAAAAATACAAAAATTAGCCAGGCATGGTCATGTGCGCCTGTAGTCCCAGCTACTCAGGA